ATCTCTAAGTATATTATAATATTATCTATATATATTATATAGTATATATCTAGAAACTTAATAAATACTTAGTATATATATACTTAAAATATTACTAATNTATATTAGTTAGTTTAAAAAGTATAACTATATACTTAAAGTACTTATATTATATATAAAATGTAGTCTTTTATTAGTCCTCTAGCTTAATTTAGATCTAATAGTAAGTATCTTATAAATTAATTTTTAAAATCTACTTTGCTCTATAAAACCTATCTAGAAATTTACTAATAAGTAATAATAGATATCTATTCTTAATTATAACCTTATTAAGGTTATAGTAATCTATATAAAACCTTAAGGATCTATCTTTCTTTAGGATGAAGAGGATTAATACCCTTACTTTATTTATAGAAAGTTAGATCCTCTTATTTACTCTATTCTTAGTAATATACTAGCGAAGTTTTTTTAGTTATTACTTATTAAGGGGATAGATTAATCTATATAGTAGTTTCTTACTTTTTTTTAGATTAATTAAGTAGTTTACTCTATTAAGAAGGTTTATTTCTTTTACTACCTATTTATTAAATACTCTCCTTTTAAACTTAAGTTCTTATAGTAGCTATATTTTTTTATTTCTTTTATCTTCTTCTTCTTAAAGCTTTTTAACTCTTATCTCTTTAGAGCTAATATTACTTAAGATATATAGGATATATATTTTATAGCTATTTTTAATAATTTCCCTTATAAATATTAAGGGTTTAGTAAGTATAATCCTATTATATTCCTATTAGTTTATCTATATATTAATAATAATCCCCTTAAGCCCTATAGAGCTTTATAAGAGTAGTAGATCTCTTATACCTTATAATTAGGGAATCTTAGTAAAGATCCTATAGATCTTATAAGGGTAACCCTTAGAGTCTATAAAGAAGAATATAAGTTTAAATATCTATCTTAAGGAGGCTATATAGCTATTAAATCCCTTAAGTAAAGAGGCTATAACGTTAGAAAGCTTTAAGCTTAAGAACTTAATAAAGCTAGAGCTAATAAGATTAATTTATAAATAACTATCTATATCTATAGTAACTTCTTTCTTAGTATACCTCTAGAGAATAATTACTCTACCCTTTACTATAGTATTAATAAGTATCTTCTTTAGTTTTATAGGTAGTATAAAGATACTTAGATTAAACCTTTAGTTTATTTATTTTCTAATAAGTTAAGCCTATTATTATATTATTCTTCTTCTTTAATTTAAATTATATTTATATTAACTTTCCTAGTGAACTATTAGTTTACTATTAGAGTAGTATTTATATCTCTTAGTTTCTTTAGCTTAAAATAGTTAGTAGACTTATACCTCTTATTTCTATAGTTATAATAAGTAATAAAATAATCCTTTTAGAATATATTATTTAATTATAGCTAAGCTATTTACTTTTAGCTATCTTTCTACTAAGGTTTCTTACTAGAAGGCTAAAGAATACTTATACTCTTTATAGCTATATAGTTATTCTTAATAGAGTCTCTTACCTCTAGTTAATACCTTAATCTAAGCTAACTTAAGTAGTTATCCCTAAAAGGTCTCTTATAACTATCCTCCTATAGTTTCTTACTAAGGTATTACTAATATAAATCCTAAAACCTCTTAACCTTAATAACTATATCTCTAAGTCTTTTTACTTCTACTCTCTACTACTATAGTTCTCTATATATAATAAGTAAAAGTCTAAAGAAGTATATATAAGCTTCTACTTTACTATTCTCTTAGTCCTCTATACTTAAGCTATAATATATTACTAACTACTTAGTAAAAAACTAAAGTAGTAATTAGCCCTCTTTCTACTTAATAGTATTAAGCTTCTCTTAATATTAAAACTCTTATATCTTTAAGTTAATATACTACTAATAAATAAATATAGTATAGTTAGCCTAAGGGACCTCTTCTATAAAACTCTTCTTATAGTAGTACTATTATATCTATTAAGTATAAGAGAGCTTTATAAGAGATTACTTAACTTATTAGTTTAGTATACTCTTAAGGTATATCTAATAACTATCCTCTATTACTTAGATCTAGTTATTAGTTTATTTAACTATAGTATCTTCTCTTAGAATTTTATAGTTATATATAAGGGGTTTATCTTATACTTTTACTACTACTTAGTTTATAGAACGCTTAATAAGTCTCTAGAAGAGGAGCTTTATTAATTCTTAATAAGCCTCTTATTATTACCTTAATATCTAAATATAAGTATCTTATTACTACTATAATAGTAATTAGAATATACCTATTTCCTTACTACTATTTATATATTATTCTCTTTAGGGAGTATTTATATTATACTTATATAGTAGTTACTCTATTACTAAGGTATACTCTTAGTTATTTAAGATAGAATAGTTATAAGGCTAGCTTTATAGGCCTATATACCTAATTACTTTATTAATAAGGTTATTAATTATCTCTTCCTATTTAATTAGTGTTATTCTTAGCTAACTTAGTCTTAATATAAGGTTATAGGTACCTCAGTAAAACCCTAAAGAAGATAGCTTTACGTTAAACGTAGACTCTTATAGTTTATTTATATTAAAGTCTAATTACTAACTATTTAGTAAGGTGTTACCCCTTTTATAAAATATTCTAACCTATACTAGTTACTTAAAATGAAGTAGAAGCTATAGAATTATAAGGTAATAAGCTAGAGGCTTTAACTAGGAAAGGTTTAGAAGTTATAATAGGGGTTAAATTTAGTATATTAACTATAGCTTACTTCCTCTAAGTTCCTAAGAAGTAGAGATTTTACTATTAAGATTAGGGTATTACTTAGCTGAGGTTTTACTAAGCGCTCGCTAGCAACCCCACTTAGTAATCCTTATATATAAGTAGTAAGTAAGAAGTTAATATATTATGAAACTATACTTTAGCTAACTTTAAAAGTATAAGTAGTAGTATATTAAGAGTAGTTCTAGTTTAAGATATATAGGAATATTATTAATTTCTACTTAGTATTTATATATTAAGAATCTATTAAGCTAGTATACTTACTAAGCTATTTAATAAATATATTAAACTACTTCTTAGTTATTTAGAATATCTTAAAGAAGTAATAAAATAACCTTATTAGTAGCCTTCTAGTATATATATATACTACTATAAAGTTACTCTTATTAATAGTTATATAGTAATTACTTAATAATACTCTTATTAAGTTAAAGTAATATAAGTACTCTATATTACTAACTCTATAGCTTTACTTATAGCTTTATTATTAGAGGAGTTTATTATAGAGGGGTTAATTCTACTATTTAAGAGGTCTAATTACCCTTAGTACTAACTTTAGTATATAGAGAGGGTTAGAAACTACCCTCTCTACGTATTAAGCTTTTTATATAGTAAGAAGAGGTTAAATAGTAGAAAACTTTAGTATTAGTACTAAAAAGAGGGGGTATATAGTTATTTTTTATATAACTATACTACTAAAATATTATAATAGGGTCCCTTTACTAGTAGTAATTTATTAGTACCTAGAAAGGTTAAGTATATTAAAAAGAGGTTTTTCTAGGCTTCTATTACGTTAGAGAATATACTAGTACTAGAAATCTCTAGTACTAGTGCTAGTACTAGGGAGAAGATCACACCCCTAGAGTCCATCTTTCAGAAATCCACCAACTATAAACCTATCGACAATGATGGTCCACGCTGTGGCCCGTTGGTTGATAGAAGCCACTGCAAGTAAACGTGGGACGCCTCAAACCCCACAATTGTTTCTGCAACAGCTGGCGAGAACACTAAACGAACCGAAGAAGTGTAGGTCAGGAAGTAGGAAAAACGAATTACATCATACAGGCCATGAGATTGACTAAGAGGGAGACAGACGAGGCGAACAGACGCCAAATGGCAATTGGTTGTCATGTTGAGAAAAAGCATTGGCTTTGTAGGACTTTGGGCCGTCGATAGCAGACTCACAATCTGCCAGGGTCACAGGGGATAGCCAACGTGACACGTCTGCACCAGTGAAGGCGCCCCCCGAGTACGGTTCCGAATCTATGCTGAATGCCAACCCCGGTCGGCACAGAAAATGGGTCTGAATCCCGGGTAGTGGGGCCGTAGATGGCCGACTGAAGCGGTGAAAATGACTCGTTTCCTGCAAAATCCAGCACACTCGTACGCAGATCTGCCTCGGCTTGATGGGGTTTGTAATCTTAAACGGCCGCAGCTCATTTGTCTCCATGAACACGAGCACGGCAGCTGTGCTGAACTGCTGATCCCACTTGGCGGTGCCAGCCATGTTGCGCCAGGGCTGCGTAGCCCAGCCAAGCTCAGTCTCTGGATGTTACATAGTAGATCAAGACATCTATACTAGCTTTAGAGAATTTTGGAGCTGATAAGTAACTATGATTCTCTTTTCTTTCCTTTTTTCCCCCTTAAGAATGGAAAAGATACGCGCAAGCAAGAAAATGGAGACTACATGTAGACCCAACGCTCAAGCGGTCTCGTTTTATCTTTCGAACACGTTAGGTCCGACAAAATCCCAGGCCACGTGGCTAGTAAGTCCTATTTCGTAGACCTACCGGATACATCCGGATAACAACAGCATGGGGTAATCGCAAGGTAAAAATTTCGCAACACTTTGTCATAAACCTTGTTGACATCGCTTGCGTTGGTTTCCCAGTATTGCTTGCCGCAGAAGTCACTGCAAGGGGCAGTTGAACCTTGGCAGGAACAGTCCTCGTGTGATTTTAAATTTCCAGGGCCTGGAAAAATTCATCAACAGACCCAATCTCTTGATATGTTGACTTGACTGTCCGTGTAGCCTTCTGGAATACAGTCTCTGGGTCTATTGCATCCCAACTCAAGTTGCCACCATACTGCGATTGAATACTGTTTGACACGGAATAAGTTCTCAACTCAATCCATTCCGTTTGGCGCTTTTGTTTTTGGGTTGTAATCTATACTACGAGTAGATGGTGCATTTCCAATACTCTCCACATATCACAACGACGATTTCTCGCCAATGATCAGTAGTATGGCAGCACCCTCTGCTGCTGGAGTGCTAGTATGCTTCCTACCTTTTCAGCGATGAAGTTTAGATGTGACGAGGCTGACATTGCGATCACTGCTGTTAGGGCTGCTTGTTCACGCTCCTCGGTTTGTCAGGTCTTCTCATCATAGCACGACTGTGGCTTCGGCTGCAGATCCAGTCACAGCCTCTCGCACTCAGTGATGGACTTTTGGTCATCGCATGGTTTAGCTGTCTAGCACAAGCTGTTTTGGTTATTCTTATGCGCAACGAAGACGTGCTGCATCCTGATATCAACTACACCCTCTTCAACTGGGAGGCCGACCCCCCCAAGCTTGAACATGTGAGAAAGGTGAGTGACCACACATGCATCCACTTGAGCCCAATATCGGAAGAGACTCATGTCTAGAGTTTAGTTAATCTGGGTGACCATTTTCCCCTTCTTCAGCGCTCTTTACTTCTGCAAATTTGCACTACTCGCAACATATCTCCAATTATTCCCACCATTTATGACGGTCTTGCGCAAAATGCTCTATGCCACAATTGTCTATTGCGTGTCGGGTTATATCGTTTCGATTTCATTACAGTTATTCCTTTGCTGGCCCATCGAGCGTAATTGGTATGGTGATCCTTGAAAAGCCCTTCTCCTAGTCTCTTGCTTAATGCCGCCTCTCCAGGTCGTTCTTGAACCCGTCAGGTCTCTGCAGCATCCAAATCATGACAACTATCTTCCATGTGTCGTGGGCATTACATTTCAGTGCCAATCTATGCAGTTAGTTGAGAGTTCCGCTGCCAGGCTTTCAACAAATGAGTGCTAACGAGTGTGGAAAGTACTGGCTATGCCATTCTTCATTCTCAAGGGTCTACAGATGAAGAGAAGCACCATGATTGGCATTTATACAACTTTCGCCCTGGGTCTTATTGATATTGCTGTTAGCCTAGCAAGGTTTTTGAGCATACAACTTGAGCCAACGTCCTCAAAATCGCTCACCATGATTCGTAAGCTTTCTCCATCAGTTTGGCTCAAACTTGAGCCTATACCTCCTTTCAAGGTATCCTCGGGGACTCCAAGTGCTAACAGACATCTACCCAAGAAATATGGGCTATTCTCGACGAGCACATTGCGCTGATAGTTGCTTGTATCCCATCATTACGTCAATACCTTCGACTACGGTTTGACGCTAATTCTGCCGCTAAACGGTCTTACGGTCATAACCACAGTCTACATAACAGACACCACGAAGCCAATCCAAGACAGGGAGGTGACGACGAGAGCGGCATTGAGATCAATAGACCTGTATTTGCAGAGACCTGCCGTTCAGGACGCAGATGCAGAGAGTCGGAAGACGATTCCTGGTCAGATGGGAAGAAGAGCAATCGTAGCGACGTGGAACTTGTTCCCATTCAAGTGCGGGAAGGCCAGAAAGGCAACGCGTCTCGAAGGACGCGTTCTGTCATCCGCGTCGACCAAGAGTTTACAATCACAACTACTATGCTAAGTTCATAGCAATAATAATACCATCGACGATTGAAACATACTGCCAGTACCAGACAAATATCGTATTGTCATACATCGCATTCATTACGACTCTCTTTAGGAGCCAAAACTTGCCAATGCGAGTCCTCTGAAGTGTGAAGAAATCGGAAATCTTGTTCGAGTACGTTATGAAAAGCCCGGCCGGTGCCACGAGCTCGAAACTATGGACTTCGCCGGCAAAGAGTCATACAAATGTTCAGCTTTCGTTTGAGGGAACCCCGTCTCCAGATGCAACTCGATATTGCAGGCTACATTCCCAATTTTCAACCAACTGATGGACGGTCGCAATGCCTCTCTTTGCCCGTCACATTATTAAAGGCTGGTAGAGGTTACGCAATCGTTTCACGAGACCATGCCTGCCGGCTACAACCTCAAAGACGCACTGCACTGTTGCCTGCAAAAAAGCCTGCCTGCGTCCATTAGTATTTCAAGCCAATCGATTATGTGCAAAGCTTGGCAGCACTACCATCTACTTACCTTAGGTAGGTTGTCGGGCGAAGAATCAGCGGGTGGGTGGCAATGCAAAAGTCAGGGGTGGTTAGTGGGACCTTCTACCAATGACACATGCAGCAGACGTGAAGATGGCACAGTCACTGTGGTGAGGCAGACCGGGTGCGGGTTGGATCAGGCTGGAGGGTACAGCAATGTCCATTTTCTCCTTCCATTTCCGTCATAACTTCCGTCGCTCTTGCGCGTTCTCATGATTGCTGCAAAAACGCATCGTGGACCTTCACCGCCAAACTTGCCGAGGCCTTGACGCTACTTCCATCGAACCCAGAGTGGAAGCCCGACACCCATATGTGCACAGTAGGGAAGTAGCAGAATGTTCAACGAGCCAAATGACGCTGACTTCCTGCGCAGCCTGACGTACAAGGTCTTGCCCATTCGCGCCTCCTCCCTTCTGTAACGAAGTCGATGCCCCCGCATTGCTGTTCAAATGGAGCGGAAGCGAAAAAGTCCTCATGGTAACCCCGAATATGAACCACACGCGCATCTCGATAAACGACACTACGTCGAACGAGAGCCAAGACCCAGACGCGGACGTCACGAATATACTATCGGCTGGATTTGCGCCATAGTTACGGAATACGTCGCCGGACAGGCGCTGTTTGACGAAGAGCACGAGCGCTATCACGACCTTCCCTTGCATGATGCGAGCCACTATACACTGGGCAGGATTGGGCCGCATAACGTTGTCATGGCCGTGCTGCCAGAGTATGGCACATCGGCTGCGACAGCCGTCGCAAGGGATATGCTACATAGCTTTCCCAACGTCCAGATTGGTTTGATGGTGGGCATCGGTGGTGGCGCTCCGACCCAAAAGAACGACATCCGCCTCGGAGATATCGTGGTTGGCACTGCTCGTGATGGGCAGAGCAGTGTAGTTCAGTACGACTTCGGAAAGACCGTGCAAGGTCAAAGTTTTCGGCAAACCGGTTTGTTGAACCAGCCGCCATGGCGCCTAAGCACCGCAGTCCACGGACTCCAGGCCCGGTACAGGAAAGACGGGCACCAAATCGAAGAGACCATCAGCGACATTCTTGACGATTACCCAAACTTGAAGAGTGAATATGCTCGTCCAAGTCTCGATAGCGACAAGCTTTATCGAAGCAGTGTTGTCCACCCTTCAATGTCCGAAGGGCCCTGTGCCGCAGTTTGTGGGTATGATCCTTCAAAGCTTGTGGAACGACCTGCGCGGGCTGTAGACAAGCTTGTTGTTCATTACGGAGCAATTGCCTCAGCCAACCAGGTGATGAAGGACGCCCTGACTCGCGACAAACTTGCTATCGAAAACAACTTCTTGTGTTTTGAAATGGAGGCTGCAGGCCTAAGCAACACCCTTCCTTGCTTGGTTATTCGCGGCATATGCGACTACTCGGACTCTCACAAGAACAAGGCATGGCAAGGGTACGCAGCCATTGCTGCTGCTGCATACGCTAAACATCTCCTGAATGAGCTTAGTCCGCTATGTTCTCCCACGCCAGCTCCGACATCAACTCAGTTGGGCAACCTGGAGGTTGCGGTTGATGGGGAACACCTGATTGACGAGCGGAGAAAGAAACTGCTGCAATCATTGACATTCGACCAAATCGATGCTCGGCAAATGACCATCAAGAGAGCGCACGCCAAAACGTGCAAATGGGTGCTGAAAAGTTCTCAGTATCTTGACTGGCTGGATCATACCAAACGCGACACACACCATGGTTTCTTGTGGATCAAAGGAAAACCAGGAACGGGGAAATCGACGCTGATGAAGTTCATCTCCACAAACTACCGGAATAGAAAGCAGCAAAGCACTCTCATCACCTTCTTCTTCAACGCACGAGGCGAGAAACTGGAGAAGTCCACAACAGGGATGTACAGATCGCTGCTTTTTCAACTCATCGAAGGGTTTCCTCAGCTTCGGACGATCTTAGACTATCCAGCTCTGATGACACCAAGCACCGGACCTCGAGAGTGGACCCTTGAATCCCTCAAAGACCTTTTTGAAGAGGCAGTCTTGAACCTGAAGAATGTGTCCGTGACATGCTTCATAGACGCTCTGGATGAGTGCGACGAAGATGAGATACGAAACATGGTATCATTTTTCGAACACGTTGCCGAAGCTACTACGCGGAAGAGCGTCAGCTTTCAGGTCTGCTTCTCGAGTAGACATTACCCTTACATCACGATTTCGAAGGCAGTCAGCCTCATTCTCGAAGGACAACAAGGGCACCAGGATGACATTATCAACTATGTGAGCAGCGAACTGAAGATCGGGGATAGCAAAGTCGTCCAGCAGATCCGCCATGATCTTGAGGAAAAGGCGTCCGGAGTTTTCATGTGGGTTGTTCTGGTCGTGGATATTCTCAATAAGGAATACGACGGCGGTCGCATGCATCGACTTCGACAAAGACTTCGAGAAATCCCTGGCGACCTGAACACTTTGTTTCGAGACATTTTGGTCCGTGATCGCCATCACAGGGATGAACTGCTTCTTTGCATCCAATGGGTGCTCTTCGCGAAAGAGCCATTGAGACCGGAGCAACTGTACTTTGCGATATTATCCGGGGTTGAGGTCGATTCAACCGTAGCCTTGTCTGACTGGGACCCTGAGGATATCACAGCCGACATTATGAAGAGATTCATCCTCGATTCCTCCAAGGGCCTTACTGAAGTCACCAAATCAAACACTCCGACAGTCCAGTTCATCCACGAGTCAGTGAGAGACTTTCTTATGAAGCATGGCGGGCTAAATCAAATTTGGTCCGAGTTTGGGAGTAATTTCAGCGGACAATGTCATGAAAGACTTAAAAGTTGCTGCATCAACTATCTAAATGTTGCTACTGCCATGGAAATTGGCGAGACTCTCCCTCATGCCTCATCACAGGAAGCTAATGAGCTGCGAGAATCAGCAGAGAAGAAATTGCCCTTTCTGCGATATGCGACCCAGCAAGTCCTGTATCATGCCGATGCAGCAGAACAATCAGGCGTAAGCCAACTTGAATTTCTTCAATCGTTCGATCTTACCGATTGGATAATTTTGGACAATCTATTCGAAAAGCATAGAATACGTCGGCACACCCCCAACGCCAGTCTCCTATACATCCTAGCAGAGCACGACAGAGCAAAGCTCGTCAGCATCGACCGCTCAAAGCTGGACTGTTTCAAACTCGAAGACGAGAGATATGGGGCTCCAATACTTGCAGCTCTGGCCACTGGGAGTTCTGATGCTCTACGTGCATTCTTGACGGCCCACAAAGAGGCCAACCCCAACAGCGCAGCACTCAAAGACTTTGAAACTCCAGACCGTCAGCAAAAGACAACACTGATCAAGCCGTCACGGGACTTCAAATTCGCGGCAAAAAAGGGTATCTTAGCCAATGCCCTTGAACTTGGCAACGAAACGGTCATTGTCCTTCTCCTCGAGCTAGGGAGGGGTGCTAATTGTCTGGACCATCAATCCAGGGCGCCAATTTCATACGCCGCTGAGAGAGGTACCCTGCATGTCTTCCGATTCCTGCTTGCGAATGGCCAATTTTACATTGACCAAGGGGACAATAATGGTCGGACGCCATTATGTCATGCTTCTATGTGTGGACATGATATTATTGTCAAGCTACTTCTGGGAACTGGTGGAGTCGATATCGATCGTAGAGATAAGTTTGGTCGAACACCACTCTCTTATGCTTCCGAGTACGGACATCATGCAGTTGTAAAACTACTGCTTGGAGTCAGTACAGCTGTGGTTGACTCTAGAAGTACCTCAGGCCGAACACCGCTGTCATATGCTGCAGGGTCACGGCAGGCTTCAGCTGTTGTCTTGCTTCTGCTTGAGACTGGCAAAGTCGACGTTGATTCAAGCGATGAAAAAGGTCGAACACCACTCTCATATGCTGCAGAGAGTGATGCTGCGAATGTTAAGCTTATACTTGACACCAACAAGGTCGAGGTGGACTCCCAGGATGGCATGGGTCGAACACCACTCTCATATGCTGTCGAGGCCGAAATGTACCACGTTACATCATTGCTATTGAACAGGGGTCATGCTAGCTCTAGTATAGAAGATAAGCAAGGACGGACACCATTGTTGTATACAATTGAGGGAAGTGTCGTGCACGCGATGCTACGACGAAGTAGAACATGAGTTTGGAAGGAGGACACATATTGCAGATTGCGCACTTTTGATAAATCCATTGTAGATTGACATTTATTCTCTGGTAATGCCATAGTGGTCCTTCCCCGAGCACCATAGGTTGGAAGAAGCTTACAGCCGGTGACCATCCTAGAGCCTGGAACAGCTGCCACCACTACATTATCTTGAAAGTAAACCATGAACGAGACTTAAGCAGCTAAAGTGTAGAGAATCGTGGATGATCTTAACACCACTATGTAGGTTTCAAGAACAGCAGACAGCGTAAGAAATTCCATTATTCTCGTTAACTAAAATACGTAAATACGTCTGCTCGCCTAATACGATAAGCGTCTCCTAGGGGTTTTATATTAGGGGTTAACACCCCTAGTCTTGAGCCATGCCCACAAGGCTGGCTACAACCTCTTGATCATTGCCGAGCCAACTGTGGCCGATAGACCTTAGATGTCCTCTTCAACCTCAAGGAGCATCGAAGTTGTAAGAGTTCTAGAGCTGAAGCTTATACTAGAGTGTGTTGCACACAGTATTGCTTCATGTTCTGTCTTTGACATAAGGCAACTGCCAAACTGCAAGTCTCTTCACTTACATCGGCGATCGATCTGATTTGCATCCATCAAGTCTCCAACGGATCCTTCCTAAGCCTGATTGATCAGCCTTGTAGCACTTGTGAGATTCATCTCGTGTCCACATTTCCATTGAAATGAAACCTTGTGTTCGCTGGTTGGCATCGGTATCAGAGACTTCGCTTCGAAGCTCGTTTTGCTTATTTCGAGTGACGAACTCTGGTTTTCACAGTAGACCAAAATAAGAAATAATCTGTTGCTGATCGTATCCCTCACCGTTAAACCTAGGGAACGCTCTCACGGCGTCAGCCTGTTGCATAATCCATTCTCAATACAAGATCGTAATCAGCGTGTTTGATGGACTTCTTAAAACATAGCATGGCTTGGTTTGTGAGGTTGTTGCAGTTGTGAACAGGGAGTGTGAGCGAATGCCGTCATCGAGCATTGTTCGAGTATTGCTGGAATATCTTAGGAGATGAACCCTCGTGGCGCAATCACCAAACATTTGAAGAGAGGGATGAAGCTGGTATAAGTAAGCTGCAAGTCTTGCGCCCGCAGACACGTGAATGACTACGGCAAGCGTTCAGATGGCGAAGAGAGATGATATGAGTGGTTCTGGTCGGGTGTTCGGCCAAGACATGGATGGGTGAGAACGCCCGCAAGAACGCAAGTCAGTGGGACGATACCAGATTGACGGGACGGCAGGAGCAGGAACAGGTGTGGTCTAAGAACTCTAAAAGCTCCGTGCGGCGCTGTGTGACGTGATGAAGAGTGTTCTAATAGTTCAAGATGGCCTATTTCGACTTCACTTCTCGAAAACTATGATAGACCTCCAACATTGACAGTTTTCTTCGCGTTTGCGAGGGGCTGCTGGGCACAAAGTCTAGATCTGGCGTTGAGTTGATCTTCACTTAGAGGCATGCTTGGCCAGAATGATGGCCAGAAGTCCATGGGAATGGCGGGGGATGAGATTGACCCCGAGGACACAAAGCGAGCAACAGCTGAATCAAAATGCGCCAGCGCACGGCCAGCGGGAGGGGCAAAGACGTGTCAGACAATCGGTGACCAGCTATCAGAGATTGCTGCGATATCTGCGGTATCAGACTATCTGCATCACAAGAGCAGAAAAGCGCTATCCGGCTTCTCTGAGCCGATGCAGTCCAGGCTGGGCGGGGATGGAAGTCGAATCAGGAGGCGAATGGGGACGCGGATATGAGACGGTAGGGATGTGGCGGTCGACCGTAAAGGTGCAGCATGACGGCTAGTCTCGCGACCCGTCTCTTACATGACTTCACAAGTGCTCAATCGACGATGGAAAACAATGATTTCCTCATGTCTAGATAAGGCGAGTGAATTTCATTGAATAGATATGAGCTGGTGACGTTGGCCGTATGAATTAGACGATGAGGGGCATTTCCCGGTGGTCCATGTTTGTATGAACCCGACGGCCTGGGTTGTGAGCTGGACAAGGGCTCCGTAAAATGCAATAGCAGGATAGATGTGCAATGTCACCCAGCGGTATGCCTGCAATGCCTCCCTCAGGCTTCCTTCGGTCAAAGTTGGTCGACCGTCAGTCTTTCATTCAACAGTCCAGTCCATTTCAACCGGTCGAGGTGGGAAGAGAAAGGGGGACATGGGGGGACCCTTGCATGACGGGCATGGGCTCGGTTGGTTCCAGCGGACCCTGGCTGGCCTTATCAGTGCCAAGATGACACTAAACACAAGCCTCCACCGTGCCGAGAGATAAGAAGCTTTAGCGAATGGGGAAGCACCTGTGAAGCAGCTTTTCTTAAAGGCTTCGTGGCAGTGGAGCGAGTCTTTCGCGGCGGGTAGGTGGAGGGTGGTGGTTCATGTCCTGTCACTTGGGAGATTGTCCGCTGTCCACAAGGCAGCAGAGATGGGGCCAGACGCAGCAGCTTCCTATTAGCGTACCCTTCCTCTGGATACATGGCGAGTACAAGACGCTTTCCCGGTGCTGCTATTGGAGAAGCCTCGGTCTGGGCATCCGGAGAAAAAGAGGTGAGCACTGGCCTTGGTTCATCCACTTCGAATCATTCCGTCCGTCCATGATCCATACTGCGTGCCATCACCATCGACAGAATTCCCTCTTGATGGATCATATTGAACACCCATGAGACTTTGCCATCGAATGAGAGGTCTCGGAGGCAATTCAATGTCTTGGCTTTAACATCTCCGTGCTCCATCCGGGCAACCATGACGACACTTTGGCTTCTTCCAAGACACCACCATACACTTTTGGCTTGTGAAGTCGTCCACCTGGCGTTCTCGTCACCCGCATCGTGGGCAATCTACGGCGCCACAGCCACGGCTCTTTTTTCAGCTCGGTTGGTGAAATCAAGTAAAGTCATTTTGGCTATCAATCGATATTCTCAAGCCTGCGATCCCCATACCATCTTTCCCTTAAGCCGTCCGCCGTCACCTGCCAATGCCCACCAGTCAGCCCCGTCATCTACGAGTCGCTTGGCTGCATCAGTCAACCATCGATATCCAACAGCCACCCCATAGTTGAAAAGATACACCACATCAGGCCACACTCAATGGCGTCTCTTAGACATTCCAATTACTTACCGCTCAACGTTCTTTGAGCACCCGCGGCCTGCCTATTGCACATGTGCCAGTGTCTTATCTATTGGTGGACCTGAAGGATTCCCGACATTTCAGCCTACGGCGCAGCACCAGAAGTCAGACCAACAAAAGCAAAAGTCTTGCGTCCTGCAGGATCCTTCCAACGGTCCTGCGCGAATCAACGTGGCCAGCCGCTGCAATCAAAGCCATCCACGGAACCAGCCCCGGCCACGCTCGCCTAACCAACCCACCTTTCCGCTTCTGGGGTCCGACATATCCCCATCCAGCTCGCTCCGATGTAAGCTCAGATTAGCGATTCGGTCTCTGTCCACCGGCCCTGGGGCCTCCCAGACCGTCTGCTGAGTGCAACTCTTGGACATCTGAGACCTAGCCCAGCTTCGAAGAGGTTTGGCACCCAAGTCGCGGTCCACGATTCAGCAAGGTCTGCGACATCGGGCTTTCTTCTTGTGAAGCCTTTCCCTCGGGGCGTTGGTGGAGAGGTTCTCCGGTATCGTTGCTTCTTCCCGCACAAACGGGACCGGAAGCCATCTTCTCCAATGTCAAAACGCTCCCTCCTTATTGCTTTTCCGTCCCGAACGTCTCGATAGCTCAGCAGATGGCGGGAAGCTAGTGTTGTCAAACCTTAACGGCAGTTTGCTGACGATCCAAGCCTTCTCGCCGCGCACAGAAGCTTGTGGCTGCGTCAATGTATCTAGGATTCGGAACTGCTGATCCTGCTGGCAGCCAGCGTCGTCTGTCAATACTCGATTGGTTGATATTTGTAGAAGCTGGAAGGATCAGATACAACGTCGCCTAAACAAGTCGTGCAACTTTGACACAGCTTTCCATGTTTGATGTCAACATTCAATGAGGTTGTGGCGTCGCACGAGCTGCGAACCATCCAGCCCTGTCGACAGGCACGGTCGCATGCATCCCTTCGCACACAATCGCTTTTGCGAAGATTTGAGTCGGTGCGATGACAGGCATCCTCCCATCAAGCGGCCCGCTTCAAACCAAGTCCCGTCCGCGTCTCCGATCGGAAGTCTTCTGGAACGCGGCAACGCGCAGGATTCGTTTGGCGCCTGGCTCTAATCTTGGACCAGCGCCGCTATGTGTTGTCATTGCTTCTCAGATAGCAGGCGGCGGCTAGGGATAGCAACAAATAACATCTTTGCTAGATTTAATGCTTCAACGTTCTATCGGATGGCACCACAAAGATGTTGTTGCATCAAAACAATACGCAAGTAAACCGCAATCCGATCCACGGCGATGCCTCCTGCCCCGAACTCACCCCCACTCGGCCGTGGCCAGGAAGAGCCGGCGAGCGCGGGCTTACGAGGTGCCTTAAGCATCTCGCAGGGAAGGGAAATGAAACACTTTCAATTGGCCGCGCGCCTCACGAGTGCGTCTCTGCCGTTGCGGCTCGCGTTGCTGAGGCACAGCATGCCTCCTCATCGGTTTTCCTTCAATCTCAAAGTGTTCTGATCGCCTACTTCTTGCAGCCTTGGCTGTCTCGGGTCAGGCTGTTGCTTGCGCCAGCACAGTCTGGATCGTGTCGCAATCTGGGCGCTAGACGAGGAAAACTTTGTCCTGGTTTTTAGTGTTGCATTCAATGTCGACATACTCTCGAGCCCGAGGGACTACCTTGCGCTGCGGTGAAAGACCCCGAAGCTACCTACCGTTTCCCTACGAGTTTCCGTGCCGTCCGATAAACAAACGAACAGCAACACCGGACGATGGGGCATCCAGACCCGCGGGCTGCTGAGCCTGCGGATGACCCTGGGGCTTTGTTGATTCTCTCCGCATACGGGGATCTGATCAACTGAGCACAAGCCATCAGTGATGTTGGGGGCAAACACCTCATCGTATTTACAGTCCTTTGAAGATGTCTTCAGCGCCAAAAGGCTGGTTGACTGTGGTCAACGGACAAAAGAACGTTCAATGGCCCAGCTTGCCAAGAACCACGGCACCGTCGAAGGGCCTGAATTAGCTTCCATCCGAGTCCCCCGATCCTAGACGACTCACCTCACGACCGTCCACTCCCCGGTCTCTCCCACTCCAAATTCCTTATCAGTTCCCACATATTTTCCCGACCCACATAAGACCTGGAGACATGGGCCACGAGCATGGGTTCGCAAGCATGTGGTGTACAGGTACGTACCTATCAGCGTGGGTAGGGCGTTCTCGATGAAGCTCTCCCACAGCCAGACGGACCTCGTACCACTGCTACCCGGTAGAGGAACACGGCGCGGCCTAGTCTCGTCTCTCGGAGACAGAGAAGGATTTGGGAAGCTCGTCCCAAGATGCCCTTCTCAGCATGCACCTCGAATCCATCTCGCCCTTTTTTATGCTTTCCTCCCCACCCCTTGGCCCTGCGCTACTGGTGTTCCCGGCATAGAGGACTGAGCAATCAGCTTGCTCCCCGTCCCATCTCTTCGGTCTCTGAGCTCCCCTTCATCATCTCTTCTGCACCAGTTCCATGGGCTGCCCATCCCTGCCCTGTTCGGGGGAGTTCCATATCAAGAGATACTGTATGCACAATGTCGGCCAGCTTACCACGAGGACCGAAGGTCCAAGGCGACGCCCACGCCCCGGCCTGCCTGATAATTTTGCTCCGTATTATTTATCTAGTCTGGACCCGGAAGGAAGACTTCATAACCGTGGTCTCCCCCTTCCCTCCATCCCTCTCCTCCCTGCCGCACCCCATTTCCATTCCACCCCCTTCGACGTCTGCTCGCCGTTCACGAGGACGAGTGGCCCGGCGAAAGAAGAGACGATTCTTAGGTTCTATCTCGCCAACTAATATCCATTGACCGCACTCGCGCCGGCGCACAACCACCAAGATGTCTCTCTACGCCCTTCCTTACAATGGAACCGAGGGCGAGGCCGACGCCGGCTACTCGACCAATGTCACCGACTTCAATGTCTTCTACGAGGTCAGTTCACCGTCGACAAGGGGTTTCGAGCATTTCTGACTTTGGTAGTCTGGTGATATGGCCTGGATCATGGTCTGCTCAGCACTCGTGCTGCTCATGATTCCCGGTGTCGGTTTCTTCTACTCGGGTCTGGCTCGCCGCAAGTCGGCGCTGTCTCTAATTCTGATATCGATGATATGTGTCGGAGTGGTGGGCTTCCAATGGTTCTTTTGGGGTTACACCTTGACCTTCTCTCACACCGGCTCCGTCTTCCTCGGCGACATGTCGAACTTTGGTCTCAAGGATGTCGTCGCCCAGCCCTCCGTCGGCTCGACTAAGCTCCCGGATATTCTGTTCTGCCTCTACCAGGGCATGTTTGCCGCCATTACGTGAGTAGACCTCCTCCCCTTCCGTCGTACCATCGCGCATCTGTGGTGAGATTTTGGTCGACGCCGCACATGTGCATGAGAGCGCCCGCTGCGACGCAGGTCTCAAATTTTGCCGAAAGCACCAGGAACTAACACGCAAAAAAAGTCCCGCCCTCGCTCTTGGTGCCATCGCCGACCGCGGTCGCATCCTCCCCGCGATGGTCTTCGCCTTCATCTGGGCCACCATCGTCTACGATCCGATTGCTTACTGGACCTGGAACGGCAACGGCTGGCTGTTCACCCTCGGCTCCCTCGACTTTGCCGGAGGTACTCCCGTCCACATTTCCTCCGGTTCCGCCGCGCTCGCCTACTCCCTCATGCTAGGCAAGCGCACCGGTTACAACAAGGTTCACGGTCTCCCCTACCGTCCCCACAATGTCACCCATGTTGTGCTTGGCACTGTGTTCCTCTGGGTCGGTTGGTTCGGCTTCAACGGCGGTTCTGCCCTTGCATCCAACATCCGTGCCGTCATGGCCTGCTTCAACACCAACCTTGCTGCTGGTGTCGGTGGTGTGACCTGGATGCTGCTCGACTACCGCCTCGAGAAGAAGTGGTCCACGATCGGATTCTGCTCCGGTGCCATTTCTGGCCTCGTCGCTATTACCCCTGGTGCTGGTTTCGTCACTCCCTGGGCTTCCGTTATCTTCGGAATCGTTGGTGGAATTGGCTGCAACTTTGCGACCAAGCTCAAGTTCCTCCTTGGCATTGACGATGGCCTGGATGTCTTCGCTGTTCACGGCGTCGGTGGTATCCTCGGCAACATCATGACCGGTATCTTTGCTGCGTAAGTCCCTTGCACCTCTTCATGGAGAACACTGCTAAAAAAATGTAGTTCCTACATTGCTGCTCTCGATGGTGCCTTGGTCATCGATGGTGGCTGGATCGAGCACAACTACGTCCAGCTCGGCTACCAGCTTGCTGGTTCCGTCGCCGGTTTCGCCTGGTCTTTCGTCTTGACCTGCCTGATCCTCTTCCTCATGAACCTCATCCCCGGTCTCAGCCTCCGTGTCCACGCCGATGATGAGGACCTCGGTCTCGATGACACCCAGCTCGGCGAGTTCGCCTACGACTACGTCGAGGTCACCCGCCACGTCTCCGACCTCGTCGGCAGCGGTAGCAGCCACGACCAGGCCGTCAGCGGCTCTGCCCACAGCTCTCTCCCTGAGAAGACCGTTTAAAGTCTTCTCTTTGGGAGAAAATCGCTAATATCAATATGGAGGTCATTGTGGAATGTTCATAGACTGTCACATTGACAATCAAAAAGAAGGGGGGAAATCGTCTATAATACTCTTGTTCATATCTTGCTTTGATACCACTATGGCACTCGCTTGCTAGATTTACTTTTAGTTTCTGTGGACCAATTCACAAATAACATACCATCAATCGTCCCCATGTGACATGGTGTTCCGAGGCACGTGTCGCACATTCTGGCAGTCATTCAACTGCTTCAGGGTGAAGTCTTGCATGCTCGTGCTGACTTGGTCTGCGGGATTGAAGCTACATCGATCCTAAGTCCTTCAATACGGATTCAATTCGTCGATGATGGGTGTTTGAGATAAGCACACGAGACACAGTCAGATTACTGCCTCCGTATCCGCCAATGTGAAGCTGACATGGATAGACGATGGCACTTAAACCTCCAGCCCGACGCGACCACCAAGCTTTATGTTCTGCTCGAGTCCCGTTTAGCCATCCATCAGATCTTCCTTCGCGTCTAGGAATATATCCAGAACCACCAATACCCTACACTACTATCCCGCCATCGACGCAAATGGCTTGGCCGGTGATATACGACGCTCCATCGCCCAGCAAGAAAGCAATCAAATCCGCGACCTCCTCTGGCTTCCCGAACCTCCCCAACAAGCACGGCGAGGGCCCAAACTCGGCCTGAGGCGCCTCCAGAGCCTGTGCCAAAATCGGTGTCTCGATGGTCCCACTGCGAGAAATCAGTTTAATACCGGTGCACTCATCTAGCCGATGCACTCACGGACAGACAGCATTCACCCTCAACCCTCTCCATCCGAACTCCTTCGCAGCGGTCTTCGTCAATCCAACAACCGCGTGTTTGCTTGCAACATATGCCCCGTTCATCGGCAGCCCAATCTTCCCCGCAACAGAAGACACGTTCACGATACTTCCTCCGTCAACGATGTCCGGTATCTCAGCGCGCATCGAGTTTCGAACCCCGCCAGCATTTATATCCATCACGAAGTTCCAGTCCTCATCTCCAATGTCAGGGATGCGGACGTTGTTACCTTGGGCACCGAGAACGCCTGCCACGTTGGCTGCGCCGTGGAGCGGGCCAAACATTTGAACGGTTTCCGTGATCCAGGCCTTTACTGCATCCCTGTCTCGGACATCCACAACCTTGGAGTGTATGTTTTCTGGGCCAAAAGCAGTGGAAAGCTTGAGTGTTGAGCTCGCGAGGAGGGCAGAGTTATTGTCTGAGAGCGACACCTTTGCACCCAGGGACACCAGGCGGCGTGCTGTTGCTAGACCTATACCGGAGGCTGCGCCTGTAATTGCGATCGTTTTGCCTGACAAAGAAGACATTTTTTACTCTCTTCGTGTACTTAGATCTCACTTAGATCTTCGATAGAGAGCAGGGGTAAGTGGCAGGTTAATATGGCTCAGGACTTCGGAGCCGAGTTGCCTGCCAGAGAAACAAAAGTAAGCTTCCCCCGCAGTGAGGCATGAGAGGTGACGACCGTCCGAAGTCGACAAAGTTTAAACATACTATGCGCTGTGTCATATACATACTAGTTAGAGGGCGGTCAGCTGGGACATTGACCAAGGTCAAGAACGGGAGGGGGCCGGGCCGCGTCCGGCAAAGGTGGGGCTTCCGGCGACGGCTTCCGGACACCAGGACCGGGTAACTCAATTCATTATATTCACGCCACAATACCGCACAAAGTGCGTTGAGGTCTTCCAAGCCCATTCGAATAATTGAGCTGAGGAACTGGGTGCGCGCATATGAAAAAAAGTAGCCCTCGTTTAAGCGGCAGAAGCAAAAAGATGCGCCGAGGGGGAATCGAACCCCCGGCTCCCCGACGCTGCTTGATGGCAACGGAGAATTTTACCACTAAACCATCGGCGCTGTGTTGATGATCATATTTCGATGCTGGTGCCGGGCAAGGTTGCGGTATTTCATGTCGAGTTGTGTGTTGGGGTGGAGATGAGGGCATCGTGAAGGATGGGGAAGGCATCCACAGAGGGTCCTTGATGGGGCCCCGTAGGGCTGAGTGAACACACTGCGACTTCATGTCGGCCAAGATTCAGCAGAAATATGAGCAAAGATAACACAAGGAGTTTCTTGTTACAATGTCTTGCAGCTCTGGTGAGGAGCAAGCAAAGTCCCACTGAGTAAATCAGACCATGTCATCGGCCTATACTTACCTAGTACCATATCTAACAAGATAGAAGTCCCCGAAGTAGTCCATCATTTCATTTAAAATCCCGGCGTAACAATTACAAGTTCAGCACCATGCCAAAATGACGAGTCAGAGGCCAACTTATCATTCATCTTTGCTCCCAGTCATACACTAGCAAGCGGATAAGCGGCCTGAATCCCTGTGTAACACTTGCTCTCGATTGGCCCGCCACCGATCCTTCAGCAACTTCACCTTCCTGTTCAGGTCAGCTCAACCGCACAGTCAGCCCCCTCGATCTCAATGTGGTACAGCTTCGAGAGGAGTGCGAGACTCACCCATAAGTCGCTCCGTGGTGCTTCTAGACAGATGTCGAAACCGACTCCTCTTCACATACAACCTGCCATCACACCCAGTAGTCCAACATCTCCTCAAGATGACAAGACGTCTAGTTCAGCAACCACCGCCAATGTACTCAACGTCTCTCGGCGGCACCTTTCGCCCCAAATATCCATCTGTCCCCTTCCAGAATGAAGACATTCACCCCCAGAAGAAAATGATCATCACCGTCATCAAAGCCGGCCTCCTGATCCCAGGCGACGGCGAGCCCACTAAAGACTCCGCCCTTGTCATCACAGACAAGCTGATTGCCTGGATTGGCCCGCAATCCGACATCCCGTCAAAGTACACCGATGCCCCCCACAGATCCTACACGGTGCCCTACCTCATGCCGGGACTATGGGACTGCCACGCGCACTTCACGATGGGCAGCCCCAACGACGCCGGCAATGGTGACGCGTACCTGGGCATCCTCACCGAGCACCCCTCCGCCATGGGCGCGCGCCTCACCCGTGGCTGCTGGCTGGCCATCCAGCGCGGCTACACCTCCATGCGCGACGTCGCCGGCCTAGGCTGCGAAATCAGCAAAGTCATTGACGAAGGGACCATCGTGGGGCCGAACGTGTACAGCTCCGGGTCGTGTCTGAGCCAGACGGCGGGACACGGCGACATCTTCTCGCTGCCGGCTGGAGATGTCCTTCTCAACCTCGGCGTGTCGCAGATTTCCCCGGGGCATTTTGGCACCTTCTCGACCATGCTCGTGGACGGGGTGGACGAGTGTCGCAAGGCGGTGCGGCTGCAGATCCGGCGCGGGGCCAAGTGCATCAAGATTCTTGCGTCGGGCGGTGTAATGTCCCGCGATGATAATCCCCTGTATGCGCAGTTCAGTCCTGAGGAGCTGCAGACCATCGTCGAGGAGGCGACGAGACAGGGAAGAGCTGTTGCGGCGCATGTCCACGGCAAGCCTGGCATCCTGGCGGCGGTCAAAGCCGGCGTAACCACGGTGGAACACGTCTCGTTTGCGGACCAGGAGTGCATCGATCTCATCAAGGAGAAGGGGACCATCTACATTGCCACACGTCTCATCATGGACATGATCATTGACAGCGGCGGCGAGGGGATCCCGAAGTACGCTTATGAGAAGGCCAAGATTTGCGCTGAGAATCACCTGGTGGCGTACAAGATGGCCATCGAGCAGGGCCTCCCCATCGCTTTGGGCACGGATACAGGACCAGGGTTCAACATGGCCATGGAGCTTGAATCGGCTGTCAAGGCTGGGATGAGCAACCTGGAGGCCATCAAGGCGGCCACAGCGAACGGGCCTTTGAGCGTTGGGAGCCAGGCACCCAGAACGGGGCAGTTGAAGGTTGGGTATGAGGCGGATGTGATTGGCGTGTTGGAGAACCCGGTGGAAGATGTCAAGGTGCTCCAGAAGATCGACAACATAGGCTGGGTGTGGAAGGGCGGGAAGATCTTCAAAGGACCCGGAGTTGGCCCATGGGGAGAGTCTGAATGGTGGGGTGACGAAGCTTCCTTCAGCAGTTGATTGATTACGGACGTCCATGCTTTCTGCTGGTGTCTGTGATGACAAGAAAATCCTCCTCTTCTTCAAATCAAAAGGTCTGACAAGGACAAAGATGTGCAAGGCGGCCTACCCTGTGACCACCCAGAAAGACATGAAGAACCTCTGCCCCTTGAAATGTCTTAGGAGAAAAGCCTGTCACTCTGCCAGATGGAGATGACAGCCTTAGAAACTGCACTTACCCGTCGTGCGGGATCTTGTCTCAACTCAGACAAACGGGCCTTCGGCCTGCCACCCTTCAAACAATTCCAGAAGCTTGTAGATATCATATTCCACCTCAGAGTGACCATTCATGCCGCATACAAATGTAGTCTTTCGCCGCAGGTCACTCTCATCCATCGTCATCCACAACTCATCTTCCTGACTCCTGAACTCCATCATTCCCACTCTGACCAAAACCGCCAACATGTCCGAACAACGCCTCGTCTTCCACCCAAGACACTCCCTGGCCTTCACCACAGATTTCATCTACAACGCAGTCAAAATCGACGATGCAGGCGACGCCCTCGAGGCCGTCTGCCGCATCCTCAGTGCGGAGGCCAAGGTTCACGCAGGCCGCGATACGGGCTCGCAAACCCTCGACCAGGCGACGTACCTCGTCGGCTGGCACGACGCGATCCACTCTCTCCGAAACTTCATCCTCGCCCGGAGAGACCTACAAATGAACAAGAACACGCACATCCACGGGGTCCCCATGTGTATGTCATTTCCGCTCTCGGCCACTATTCCGGAGGCTGCGATTCTGGTCGCCAGCCGGGGCACCGCGTCGGTCTTCAACATCCCCGAAGTCCCGCTCATTGCCCCCAACAGAGCCGAGAAGCAGGCCGATGACGGCTTCATTGTCGTGAGCTCCTCGTCCGCCACCCCCTTCAACACGCCCACGACAAGCTCTTTCCTCCAGAACTCCTCGTCTGCGCCCACCGCCCAAAGCTCCCAACTCAACACGTCCAAAATCCTCGCCGGCATGGACACCAAGACCATCCTCATGAACTACGAGCGCGAGGCCCGCGAGTCGGAGCAGAGGATCGCCACGGAGATGGCTAAGATGAGCCTGATGCGCCAGGCTATCTTCAAAGACCGCTTCTTCGGCGAGGAGCCCTCACTCCTAGACAACGGCGGCTTTGTCAACAAGAAGCAGCAAGACCGCGCCATCGACGCCGTGAACCAGATCTTCCGCAGGTGGAGAGGTGGACAGGTGCCGCCGACAACCCGGCCTTCTCACGAGGAGCCGGCCGTCAGGAATCTTGGTCTCTTCGGCGGAGCATTGCGCAATCTGCAGAGCAACAGACCGGCAGTGTCTCAGTCGCCCGGCAACGCGGGAACCTTTGGGGGTCCTTCGATTGGGAGCCCCTTTTTCAGCCCGTCTCAACCCAACACCAGCCAAGCTCCTCCTCGGAGCCAGCCATCCCTCTTCAACTATGCCTCGATGCAGTCCACTGCACCAAGAAGCCAGCCCAATCCGACGCCACCTGCTCCGCTCCTAGAATGGCAGCTCGACCAGCTTCTGCAGGATCGGAACGACACACACGACCTGAAGGAGTTGTGGCAGTCGTATCAGCCAGGCCCTTCCTTCATCGAGCGCAACGGGGTTCTTCTCCCTCCCCCTGATGCGACGCCCTCTGCTGGATCTTCCAAGTCCGTCGTATCCTCAGGCCCGCCCCAGACCTTTGGGAGGCGCTTGGGGTCCTGCGCCATATCTAATGGTGGCCAGCGTCAGTCCCGCCGTGAGCAGTTAGCGCCCAGCAGCATATTCCACATAGTCGCCCATCCCACGCCCTCGACTATTCCAGCCTCAACCCAAGGTACGCTTCTCCAGGCATCTCGACAGCAGCCATCTTCCTCCAGCCCGACCTGGACTCAACCCCAAGATGCCACCGAACGCGGGATGCAAGCAATGTACCGCGAAGGCGACCGCCTCCTCGATCTCGACGCCGGCAGTCGCGCAACTGCCGACAGATCCACTCGCCGAAGCCAGGCTGAGCTCGCCCACCAAGCTGCCCGGGACCTCCGGGCCCGCGTGCATGCCCGCAGGGCCATGGAGCAGGCGCAGACGCACACCCCGGAAAGCAGCGATTCCCTGATGACGGCGCCATCGCCGACGTCTAGTTCCACGGAGCCCGCGGAGCTGGACGCATTCAACACGCAGGTTGCCCCGAAGGCTGCTGCTCCTACGCCTCCCAGCCGGCCTTCTCTCTTCGAAAAGGCTCTCAGCCCGGAGGAGTACAACCCAGCACCAGTCCGGGGAGGTCCTGCTTCCGGCCGTGGGGGCCTCTTTGCGGAAGCTTTCTACAACCCAGCACCAGCCCGGGGCCATGCCACGGACAACACCTCCATTCCCAAGGCCGCCGCCCATGCTCCCGGCCGAAGTGGCCTCTTTGGGGAATCGCCTCACATGCCTTATGCCGGAGGTGGTCTCTTCGGTACCAGTCTAGCGCCGTCCCAGCAAGTTCCGTCCGGTATCTTCGGCTCAAAGCAGCCGTACCACACTACCACGGCAAATTCCTCTCCCAAGTCTAACGAGGAGGAAGATGACCTGTAATGGTCAAATGGCAAGTTCTTTGCTAAAGTAGTGCCACTTGGCTATCCGGGCAGTGGTCATCGCCGCCGTCCATCGCCGTCGTCCGTCGCCGTCGTCAACTTTCTTCGTAATCCAGCGTCGTTGTCCTTATCTTCACCCCTGTCTCTACTACTGTCGTCCTTGTGGTAAGTATTGGGTAAGCTGGATTAGAGGGTTCACTGCCCGGCTAGCAAAACTCTTTCTGAAACGCAAACAATCTTGTTATTGGGGTATCAAATCGTGTGTATTGTATTCGGACTGAATTCGTTCGCCTTTTTGTGCAATGTCTAGACTTGGGGAGGGTTAGTTTTCATAGATCATCCGTAAAAACAAAAGACGAAAAGCTCACAAAGCATGTCCACATCCGCCCCCCGTGAATTCCCTCCACGTCCCCCGCGTCCACCATCGTGAACCAACTCCTCTCTTTCCCTCCTCACGCAATGTTGTCCATCTCCACCTCATTAGCTGGCTTCTCCTCCTCCGCCTCCTCGTCTTCCTCGAGATCTACACCGTGTCAGTAAACCACCAGCACCACCACCACTACCCCAAGACCGAGCACTCACCCGCCATCTCCACCTCCCCATCCTCCGCCATCTTCCGCCTAATCGCATGCGCAATCTTCTTCTCGAGCTTCTTGGCCTTCTTCTTGCTCAGCGGCGCGTTCGGCCCGCTGTTGGGCATCAGCCCCGGCCGCGCGCCCCTCTGCGCGTCGCTCTTGGCGATCTTGTGCTTGTTCTCCTCGGACCGCTTCTGGCGCACCTTCTTGGCCTTGTTCGCCTGCGCCGCGAGGCGGTTCTTGGAGCGGTGGTTCGGGTTCTTGACGGACGGCATCGTGGCGGAGCTGTGTGTGGTGTGTTTTGCGGGTGAGGTGTCGGAGGTGAAGGTGGCAGAGAGTGCGATTGATAGCGGATTGGATTTGGCGATTGGGATTTTTTTTAGTGGAGCTTGGTGGGATGCGCCGGGCGGTCGGGGTCCAGGCACCGATCGCCCCGCACTCCTCACCGAGCTACTCCACAGTACACCGGGCACACCGACCACACCTTGTCTTCACCGAGGTGAGGCATGGACAGGGAATCACCCGGAGCATATCAAAAGTCTCTGGATCCTGAATGCAAGATTTGACATTGCGATTAATGCATTTCTCATATGACAAAAGATTCCTAGCCATCGATAGAGTTTGCGTCTTGCTAAGCGAATTAGATCTTTAACCAAAAAACTTTCATTTCTAGGTCGACGTAACCAGGAGGATTCTTGTTTGTCCAGACGCTTTCCAGCCCATTAAAAAGTATGCGGCAACCGGATCCAAACGCCAGCCTTCAATGCATGATGCCATCCCTGTCTATAATCCCACCACCACCAAGCTTTCGCTTTCCGCTCTTATCACCGCGCCACTCGGTCGCTGTTCTTGCCCACCGTGCTTGGGCTACCCAGGCCTTGATCGTCGTCGGTATCTTCGCGCAGGCCCTTCTGCGCGTCGTCCTCGTCATCGCTCATGAGGCCCTCTAGCTCAAACTCCTCGGCGTCTCGTACTTGGCGGTTCTCCGCACGCCCATTCGCCACCGGCGCGTCCAGGTTGACTTTGCCATCCACGTTGGAGTTACGGTCAAAGAGGTGAATGAGCATGTTGGCGAAGAGGAACACCAGGAAGGCAAAGGAGTAGAGAATCAAGATGTAGGAAACGTGATCCAGTCCGGAGTTGGCGACGAGTACCATCTGCTCCTCGGTCGCACCCATGAAGAGGAATCCAGAGGCGTACAACAGCTGCGACAGGCATGTCAGAAACATTCAAAGAGGGTCTCCGGGGGATTAGCACTTACGAATACGGGAATATACTGGAAGCTATTGGTCTTGCGGCCGTCGGCGGACATGCCGCTGGCGTCCTTGACGACAAAGGCAATCTCAATGATGCGAGTGATGCCGGCGGCCATCAACGTCTTGCCGAACATGGCGTGGGTCATGGCGCTGATGGGCAGCTCCTGGGGATGCGCCGACATGGCCCAGCCGGTCATGAAGAGGACGAAGCCGGGGATGAAGTTGCGCTGGGGGTTGCCATCGCGATCGCGGCTAAGCCAAACGCCTGCCAAGCCGGCGCACCACCAGATGATGCCCATGGTCGTGTGCTGCCAGTCATTCCTAACCCATTCGGTACCCCAGCGGTGCTCGGTGAAGGTGTTGACGCAGCCCCACGCGGCAATGACAACGCTGTCGAAGAACTCCTGGGATCGTCCGGATCGTCGGAGCCACAGCTGCCCCACGACAAGCAGCAGGGTCAGGATGATGCCGTAAGCGATGAAAGCGCTTCCCATAATGAAGTGAGCCAGACATTGTCCCAGGTGGTCGCCCTGGCAGAAACCCAGCGAAGTGATGCCTCCGAACAAGAATTGGACCCAGCCGAGGACGGGGAAGGCCTTTCCGAGAACTCCGTGGATGGGCTTGATGACCCTGCGAATCTTTCCGTTGAAGCCCTTCTCGAGGTGCAATTTCAAGTAGATTCCGACACCGACCTGGACGGCGAGCATCAACATCAACCATCCGGCGAAGCCCGAGTGAACGTTGCCGTGGACGAATTCTCTACCGCCGTGCATGTGGCCGAGGAAGTAACCGAGGATGGCGAGAGCGGTGCCGAGAACCTGTGTGGGAACATGCCAGCGATTCTTGGTGAGCTAGGTAGGGAGGAGAGGTCATGTTAGCAATCGCGTATTCTTTCGGCGGAAGTGTCGGATATTGACGTGAGGCCGCTTACTCCTAGCACCATGCCCACGGGGAAGATGACCCCGAAGGCCAGCATCATGATGAAGATGTGAATCCATAGTATCGTGTCGATGGGCTCTTGGGAGACTGTTTCGCCCTCCTGGATGTGGCTGACGCCGTGTTCGTGACCGAGAGCCATGGGGAGGGATGTGAGGATGACTGCAGCTGCTGCGGAGAGACGGATCGAGGATGGGATTCTGGAAGGCGGCGACGAGGCCGTAGAAAAGTGGTTGAGCGCCATGACTACTCCCGTACGGCGGCGGCTACCACCACGAGCAGACCAGACCAAGCTTGTTTGGTAGGCACAGAGGGCGCTGCTGCGGAAGGGCGTTTCGAAAGGCAGAGGCTCCCCTGTGCAAGTGCGAGGCCCTGGAGGCGGCTGGAGCCAGACGTGTCACAGACTTGGGCTTGGGGAGCGGGGCGGCGTCACGGCGTCGCAACGCAATTGGCGAGGTTCGGACGAGTGGTGGGTGTTTAGGGGTGGTGTCGGGCGGTCGTCTCGACTCTGTGGTGAAAGTATCGTACGGGCGAGGAGGTGGTTCGAGTGCCGCACCGCGCAGAGAGCGGGATGGAAGCCAAGCAAGAAGCGAGGCGAGTCGAGTTGAAGACTGTATCCGTCCGGTAGAACAAGCGAATGCCTACCACGGTATCTGTAATGTAATGGATGGATGGTACGTGGGGAAGAGTGTTGCGGTCGCGCTGACCAGGGGGGCCGGAGTCGCTATCTTTAGCTCGCTCGCTGGTCGCGGGAACCGTGGTGTTGTCGGTGTTGTTGGTCGTCGGATTTTGCGATGCGAAGGAGGAAGAAAGAAAAACGGCGAGGCGGAGGAGAAAAGAAAAAAGACAAAGAACGCAGTGAGGCTCGCAGCAGGCCGGAAGACGGCAAGGAGAGACAGCAGGACGGGAGTGCCGCTCTCTCTTTCTGAGGTGTCCTGGTGCTCCTTCTGTTCCTAGTGCTGGCTCAAATCAAACCAGAGTGGCTTTGCTGGGCGACACCCGGAGGCTTCGGTAACGCCCATATTGCCTGTGGAACTAGCGGGTGCGAGGTCACTCTGCATACACTTTTGTATGGCGTAGTACATTGCTGCTGAGTGAGTGCGTGTGTGTGTGCTGTGGAAGGGGCGGATCGCTGGAGCGTGGAGGGGAGGGGAGGGGAGGCCTGATGCCGGGGGCGATTACGCAGAGCTGATGTATTCTCCCCGCCAGATCTAGCAGGGGAGGTACAAGCGACGCCTTTCCACTATGTAGACTTTTTCTCACTGCAGAATTACAGGTGACTCTCTGCAGCAACGCTCTGCAACTCGGTGTTCTTCTCAGCAAACCACACAAAGTACCATTTAATGCGGCCATCCTGCACCCTTCTACCAGTCGAAAGCTGCTGACCACACATACTAACCCCAGGTTACCTTGCCTCCAGGTAGCACTTCGCAACGATCCATCCAGGAGGCCCCCCCATTCGCCAGCCAAAACACCGAGCAGTGTCCCCCCGGTTTGACCCTCTCGGACCGGCTGCATCGGTACGTACCCCTGGCCCACGCTGCCTTCCCTTCGTAGCATAACCGCATTGAGTCCGTTTCCATTGGCCACAGCTGTCCGTTCCCCGTCTTTTAAGCGGGGGCGCTGAGTAATGCCGTCATCGCCCAATCGCAGATCCAGACGGTCGTTACCGGCAAAAACTGTTTGCCCAATTCTCCGTCTCCTACTCTGCTTGCTGTACGTGTGGAGGACGGGAACGCGTACACTGAACGAAAAACACAGAAACACCGCCTCCGTTCTCACCGGCCCCTGCCAAGAACCCTCATTATTATTCCACATTGCCTGCGGATATTGCAAACTCAGTCACAACACGCTAACCGCCCCGTTCTGTCCTCTCCCTTATTGTTCCCCTAGACTCCCAAGACGGCATCCCTATCCCTAGTGGCAAGCCGAGCAACTCAAGAAAAACAGCGCCTTGGCCCAAGGGAGCCAAGCTTGCCTTTTCTTGCCCATCATGACTTTACGAGCAAACGTCAATAAACGGTCCCACTGTCAGTCGACCCCCTGACACGCCATAGCTTGCATTGCATTACCCGCACCGCCTGCCACCAACCTTCTGAGCGCCTCCCGCCTGTCATACCGTCTTGGTCAACGGTTCTCATCCCATCTGCTTGCATTTTTGACGACATGCACAGAACGTAGGGCATCTCATGCAATCATAAACCGCTCGTCTCGCGGCATCTGCAATCGTCGTC